ATCATTCCAATAAATCATATCCAGAAATCAATCTCATTACGTACACACATACCGCGGCCGCCTCTTTCGTTTGCCTCGTCGCATTTTTATATCCAGACGTAAACACACCGGCTATTTGCTTTAGTGGAGACGTACGCAACCGGTAAGAGCTGACTGGTCTCTCTCGGCGAACAGGTAGTGACGATCCTATAGTCGTGCGCACGTGTATACACGTACGTGTAAGTATGCGTGCGTGAATAGATGCAACATTGACGTTTCTCTGAATGAATCTCGGGTGAACCAGTTGAGAACCATTATGCGCGCTTACGAGTATCGCCGTTTAATAACGAGGTACTGGAGACTTCAACGCCCGCGCAAGACATCAAGTTGCATCGCGTCGCATTGCGCCGAATCTCGCCCGGAAATTTCGATGACTGCACTCAACGCATCATAAGCTGATCCTAGCCGGAGATGGATTCAAGTAGCGAGATAAGGTGTTACAGATTCGTCAGGATTTAATCTACGCTTTTAATATATATTTGACGATGTTGCATCTACGTAATGATGACAACAATAAACAAATTATTCTTCATATATGAATAAAATTTAGAACTTAGGTGGACCACGTAGACTAGAAATTTCATAAAATGTGTCAGTAAATTCTCAGCATAACTCCTTGGATATTTTTATATATTGCAAAATTTATTAATGTTATAATTTATATTCTTTATAGAAATTTTTTCATATATTACAGATTTTAATCAATTTATATGGCAATTTTTTATTGTTATACGTATTGTTTAACGTTTTGAGAAATGAAAAATATAACATGAATATATAATATAAAATGAAGTAAAACTATTTTACTATGTTTTTCTATAACTATGGAAAAAAAATCTAAAATCTTATATTTTACCAAACAATATAATTATATCCAAAAAAAAATTGAATTACGCTTTTGCTAAGTATGTAAAATGAACTTGCTGAGAACCATTTATCAGTATAAGATATCAAGTGTGACATAAGCCTAAAACAATAAGATCCTTGAAATTTATTTAAGCTGCATACAATAAGTCCATTCTTTGTAAATTAGCCGTTATCTTCTCGAAGTTGTTCTGTCTTACCATTGAGCTATTCTATTTCATGAGAAGCATTTATGACAATCGGGAAGTCCGCCATCAGAGAAATACAAGGACGAAACATATTCACATATTCGAGTAAGAATCAGAGGTTTTTGTTTCGCTCGCGTCCGAACAGGCGGGAATGCGCAGATACGATAAGACTATAATGAACCAAGCATGATTTTCGCGCCCTTCATCCCTTCCATCCCGGCACACGTGACAAATGATCGTTTTGCCAAGGAGAACGCGCATTTCGCCGATAATAACATGTCGGCAGGTATTCAGAGGGATGCGCGTAATTACGGGTGACGCGACCTACGACAGAATCGCCCGTGGATGCTTCTGCTGAAACGAGCGTATGATGTATTCACAACCGCGCGCAACTTTAACCCCTTCTCGAATACCAGCGGCAATTTTATTCTTGCGAAAAAAAAATGCAAATAAATTGTAAAAAGATATTTCTTTTTAAATTTAAACTGGATTATGTTGACGGAATAGTATTTTTAATGATTTTTAACAACTTGATACTCCTTAGAAGAAACGTTTTTGTCTACGAAAGCAAAGACTTTATGCAATATTTTACGTAATAGGTCAAAGCGTGGCGGGGTGATCTATAGTGTTAAAAAATGAGAAGTATCGAACTACGAGCGGTATCGAACTATTCTACACGTTGTCACTCGAAAAGTAAACTTTGTCTTTGATCCAGTTGAATTATGGACACTTCCTCGCACGCTTTCCGACACGCTTTGCGATCTGCATAAATATGTAGCCGGTGAGCGCGTTTTATCCCGTCGGCGTGAGAGATATATGGCGGAAAGGTGGGCGCGGAAGGCGACTTTACGACTACGCGCGCGCGCGTCGATAGATACGACGACCAGAGAGGGATTTTCTCGGTGAGGATCGGACTTCGATCTGCTTTCACGAGGTCGACGTTAGAAAGCCACGCGTAACGCGCGCTCGTCCGCGATCAATCCTTCGTTAATAGCACGATGCTGAAACATGGTCCAGCAGTTATAGTTCTGCTGATGCGTTCGCCGCTACATTGCACTTACGCTACACTTGCACTTAATTCGCCATACAAATACGCCATGGGCTGCGAAAAAATGGAGCTAAGAAATCGTCCGGAAGAAAAATATTTGAAGCCGTGCACACGGGATTCTACCCCTCTCAAAGATCGTCGTTTTTCCCCTCTCCTCTTCTACCTCTACCATTCGACCCACCTACGCAAATGTGTGCACAGCCACCCACGCTGCGCGCAAGCGTGCGGAGATCGTGACGATTCCCACGGAAAGAGGCGCGCGGGTTCGAATTATCTTTATCCGCTCCGGAAAGCGTCGCGTTCGGGCCTATCTCTGAGAGAAGAAGGGTCGGCGCAATCCGAAGAATTTAAATCTGTCCAGACCGCGGCGGCTCGTATCTTTCGAAATTCTCTCGTCCGAGGAAAACGCTCGGGCTAGGCTACGAGCGATTAAACGTGTCGATTTGGTCGGATCCATATACGCGGCGCGTTCGAAGACCACGAATGAGGAACGAATCCCTCCCTGAGCAGGGTCGCATCGTGCGACGTAGCCCGAGGCTGTCCTCTCTCGCTGGGTGCCCATTTTTCACGAGGTCTCTCTCTCTTTCCCACCTCATGTTCCTCCCTCCTGCCTCTCTTTCTCTCCCTCCCTCGGTTCTCCGACTCCCCCCTTTTTTTCCTCTTTTAATTCCATCTTCTTTTTCTCCTTTTAATCTCCCTTCATGCGCGTAGCCAACGCCCGTTCTCTTCGTCGCTCATGCGGCTTCTCCTCTTTCCTTTTCTCTCTCTCTCTCTCTCTCTCTCTGTCTCTTCCTCTCCTCATCTCTCCTTCTCTCCGTCTCATCATGGACTCACGCACACGCCCTCCTCTTCCATCCTCTCTCCTTCCCCAACATTCCCCTCTCGTATCTCTCGCTCTTTCGATCCCGAGTCCATCTCCGTTCGCGCAGCTACGCCGGCAGCACCGGCAACAGCTTCGCTCTCATCGGCAACCAGCGTCCAGTACAGACGTCTCTTACCGCGTGCCCCGTATAAGAGAGAATCAATCGGACATACATATATGAACGTACTTCTTCCCTCCGTTTCATCATCGGTGAATCTTCCTCACGGATATCCTTCTTACAATGGCGGTAGAAAGAAAGAAGGAAGACGATAGAGCTCCATAAAGAAGAAGCTCTCTCTCTCTCTCTCTCTCTCTCTCTCTCGCTCTCTTTCGTTCTTCGCGTTAACCAACGTTTGTTCGGCGAGAGAGATGAGAGGAGAGGAATGCGTGCATATGCGCGTCTGCCTTACGATGACTCGGGAAGATGCCTCGATCATCAAAGGCAGATAATTTCAGGTAGAGAGGTTTTCTTTATAGCGCGCATAGCGATAGGCTTAAATAAAAAAGATACTATTGCAAAACAAAAATTTATAACAGATAGATGTATCTAAGATGTCATTCCGTTCGATGAGGTATCTGCCATCATTCGGCCGACGCCTATTTAGTGTATATGTTCGGCGAAATGACTTTACGTCCTTCTATTAGATATCCTTTCGGATATGGTTTGGTATGTGGATATCCTTCTCAAGGTGGCAAGATAAAGAGCGAGCGTTATAAAATCGAAGTGGGAAGGACAGAGGGGAGAGAAGGTGGTAGCGGAGGCCAGAGCTCAGATACGATAATCTTACGTGTGCGTGTCCTCCTTCTCGTTCCTCTCGCGGTCCTCCCCGCAGCTACCCTTCTCAAGGTAGTAAAGCCGGAGCGGGACAGAGCTACGAGAATGAAATTCGAAGTAAGGACGCGAGGCCGAGAAGCGATACGTACGTCTGCGCGGCCGTCTTCGTCCCGCTTGGACCATCGACCGCGTGTATCCTTCTCAAGTTAGCAAGGCAGCTCGAAGCTGGAACCAGCGAGAGAACGAAAAAAGAAAGAGAGAGAAAGAAAAAGAAGAGGCAAAGGGAGGGAGGAGAAGAGAGAGAGAGCCAAAAAGAGCTGGACAGAGAGACGTGATAATGCACGTGTGCGTATATCGCGATGGTCTTCGTTCTTTCCGCGGCAACTCTCGTCAGATATCCCTCTCGAGAGGTAGCTGAAGGAGAGAGGACGATGAAGAAGCGGCGCGTTAGAGAGAGATGATTATAGAAACACGATAATGCCGGGTGGCCAGGATCCCGCCTTGTTGATGATTCGATGGTCTGTTTGTATCTGTGCAACACGCGGAGACGTTAGGATAGTTCCATCCTGGTCGCACCCATCCGCGAGGCCTACGAGACCGTCCTTGTCGCACCTAGCTACCTGTGCTGCACCAACCCCACTGCTGCGCCTCTCCTACCTGCGCCTATAATATCCATCTGTTTCTCTCTCTCTCACTCTCTCTCTCTCGCCAGTGTCTCTTATTCACTTGCACTTTGCGATCGTCTCAGAGCCGACCACTCTCACCGTCCCTCTCGGGAGAACACTTGGAGCGAAGGAGAGAGGAATGATGGCTCAGAGCTTGAGGGTCTTCCATTCTCTTCATCTTTCTCTCTTTCTCCATCCAGAAGTGGGAGGGCAAAGAAACGGTGAACGGAAGAAAGAGAAAGAGAAATAAAAAAACGCAAACGCCGAAGGGAGAGAGTCTCGAAGGGAAGGCGTTATGCGGTACACAGGTAAACGGAAGAGCGAGAGTGAGGAGAGGAGGACGAGGCTCTGGAGCGAGGGAGGCTGAGAGGCCGTAAGACGGAAAATATGCGAATGAATACGAGTGGGAGAGAGAAAGAGAAAAGGAGGGAGGACAGAGGCGGTAGAGAGACGTGCGAGCGTGTGTGAGACGCGAATGGAAGGGAGAGGGGGGAATCCGAAGCACGGAGCTACGAGCGTGATGCTGGGAGGCGGCGGCGGCGACGGCCATATTGCTGTATCTCGAGAGGCGAAAGAACGATCCGACAGAGCACCGTGAAGCTGCTGAATTTGGTGGTCAAACCCAAAGTTTAAACGGTTAAAACTATCTGTTGTGTCGGGTCAAGTTAGTGAATCCTAGTCTCTTTTAAAGCCGTCCAAATTCTGGAGTCTTTTTGTAGTTTAGTTCGGTCCCTAAGTTTTTAAGTTTCTCAGTGATTGTATGCGACGGTCGTCGCCGTTGCGCGCGCGTGAACGTGCGAGTGTGTGTCAAGCCGGTGTGCGAATATGCGATTAAAAAATACAAACAGGATACGGATTTAATTAAAGGACAAGTTTAATAGGAAACTAACAAAAAAATTTGCAGACGATCACAGCGGTACGTAAGAAATATCGAAACTGAGTATCAGAACAACCGTATGCATGTGACATTCGAGACTTGGAGAAATGTCAACGTAAGAATGTGCGCGTAGTGAATCGCGGTTGTGACATCAGGTGAACAGGCGACGCGTAGATATATTACCTTGCCGAGATATTTCGTGGAACCAACAGCTTCGTCGGTGGAGAACGAGAGTCAGTCAAACGGAGAACTGTGAAATCCCCGAAGAAGGATGCCCTCGACAGAAAAATAGTCCCAATATCAGCAAATCACCAAGACGATAAACGTCTCGGTCTACAGAGAATGTGACTATTATCCGTTGAGATGTGATCCAAAACATAGGAGGGACACTCAGTAGTTTGTAGTTGGTCCCCATCTCCCCCCCTCTATCACCCCACCACCCCACTAGCCCCCTCGTGACTTCTACCACCTACTCTATCTCCCCCTCTCCCCTCGTACACATGCACGTGTGATAATCCACTTCACCGGTAAAGCAACTACCACCGGATCAGCGACTTCCTTCAAATGCACCGGCTGCTGTACCGCTCAACGACACTTCTCCCTCCCTTCTAATACGATCCCAATGAGTAAGTATTGTCCTCGCAACGTCATCCATTTTATTACGATAGTCTAGGACTTTACTATAGCGCACGTCTTCGTTAATAGCTGGAGGCTACCTGTGCGATGACGTACAGGTGACGCGCGCAGGTGACCTACCGGTGAGGTCTACAAGTGGCGCGAAGACGCGCAAGCCATAAGGCTGCCCAATATCCTGCCAGCGAAATACTTGACATTTTCTTTTTGACATTTTTTATATCGCTTATCAACATTTTAATGTGTTGTTACTTGTTATAGTATGTTTAAGCTACGATTATTAAAGAGATAGCATGAATTCTGGATAGATAAATTCTTTACCGTAAATATTTCACAGAAGTGTAAGAGTATGCATGCATATATTATACAGAATTACATGCTATTTTTACGAATAGAAAGATTTATTGACAAATGATTTTTATGATAACACAATTCTCATTTTATTTCATTATTATATCTAATTTACATAACAAAAAAAACCCAATTTAAAGCAAAAACTAATAGAATTAACGAAAAACTATATACATACTCATCGCTGCAAATATAATCAGAATTACTTTTTACATCATTTAATTCTCTTTAATTTATATAAATACATATAATATATATATATATATGTAGATACTTGGAGAATTGTTCTTTTTTCTCAGAGACTTAGGTTTAATACTTTTGCCTACGAATTACTAAGTCAAACATACTTATACAAATCCTTGAGAATTGTAAAAAGAAGTCCACAAAATCTTTTTATTACCTAAAGTCCGTATTAAATGCGAAAGTCATCCATCAAACGTATACGTAAAGGTTCATGATGACAAATAATGAACTAATTACCGCCCGATAAACAGCAAAAAATTGCAGTTTTAAATTTATGATATAAACACAGGTAAAACAAAATATCCTTTCATATTATGTTAAGTTACATTCGAGAATCGATGTCTGTACCGTGCTCAGAAGGAATCACCTGAAACTCTCACTAGATCTCTATAAATTCACTCTCGATGCACTTAACGGCAATCCGTTGCAGGTGCGCGCGCCATGAACGATTCTAACCGGGCGAATCGCGGTCGCCGCGACTGCAATACCGCGATGCACACCGCCGCGACAGCGGTTCTAGAATCCATCGGCGGCAGGTGTAACGCACGATCGAGGCGTCCGGCCGCTGATAGACACGTCGCCTTTGCGCGACTTGCGCGACGGAGGAAGACGTTTCTTCCTCTTTGTACGACTCGACGGCGTCCTCCGTTCTCCGGAGGCATCGTCCACTGACGCGAGGCGAGGGCGTACAGGTACTTGAAATACAAACGGACCCACGGTGGTGGGTCCAATCTGATGCAGGGTTCCCTTTGAGAATCAGGTTAGACCGGCTCCTCTGAACCTGCTTCTCTGGCTTCTCGTCTCCGGTTCGCGGTTGTATACCGGCCCCGTGCGTACCTACTCCTTCTCCCCGGTCGTCCCAATCTCCTTCTTCCGCGTAGTAGGTAGATACCTACCTACCTACTTCCCGCCGCCACCCTCTTCGACGTATCTCTGTTCCTCTCTCTCTTTCTTTCTAACAACCAGTCTTGTTCCTTCCTCGCGAACATCACCGCGTCTCCATTATTGACGACGCGCCGCCTGAGAAAGAGAAAGAAACTGAAAAGAGGAGAGAGAGAAAGATACTGAGAACCGGCACCGTCCTATGTGTTCACTCTCAATGGTCCGGCTTCCTCGTTACGTCTATTATTATACCTGTCTATCCGTCAGAGCAGTGCCCGCGAGCTGAATTCCAGTTTTACGCGCGCGCCCTCCTCCACGCGCGCGCCTACTCCGCCGTAGTAGTAGGAGCAGATGAGCGGAGTCGGAGAGAAGAGCAAACCGACTGGTTTTGCTAACCATCCACCTGGACGAGACCAGGAAGGCGCGAGGATGTAGAATTCGCGGTGTCAGACTGGTTGACCGACATTCGTGGATCCTCTCGCCCGGCGATAAGTGAATAATGCCGAACCTGCTCGCTCACTCGCGCGCAGGTTCTGGTTTCCCTGTCGCGGGAGTACGCGTCCTGCGTGCACGAGGCTTCTTCTTCTCCTCCCGCGGGCCACGTGGCGGAACGGAGACGCGGATTCTCCGGTTCCGGCTATCTACTTGTTATGCGGAGAAAACGTAAAGGTTACCTGCTTGCATTCCGCCGACTGCCGGTTCGTCTCGTTTTTCGCATGCGTTATTAAATATACGCGATCAGATTACTCACGATAAGACGGAATAGACGGAAATCTATTTACTATGAGTCATCAATAGCTATAAATTATTTTAGTGTTGGAGATGAGTAACGGATGTTGGTAGACATGGATAGAGTTGTTTTATAAACGTCTTTTTTCTTTCTTATTTCTTACAGATTTTTACCGCCCGCTCTTCTTCAAACAACGTGCCATACAACCCTCAGCAACCTGTGATATAATACTCGATGCCTAAATATTTACATAGCGTAGACATCTAGTCGAAGACTAGATCAAGCTGAAGGTTTCATCGACAAAAGAAATTGCAATTCCTAAGACAACGAGAGCTTAGAACACATGTTTTAAGCATTTTGAGTACGAAGATTACAGAGGATTTTAGAGGATTACACAGTACGAGAAGAAAAAAAACAGAAACGAAAGACGGCGCCGGAGAATGTCGACGTGCACCGACGAGGCCGATAATGCACCCTGCACTCTGTCTCCGGTCAGTTACAAACTCTCATTTTCGACTAATAAAATCTAGCGCCGCATATTCTTGCATGGTATATCTACTACTACTATTAAATTGTCTGCTTGTGAGAACTACATTTCCTTAAAGCAGTAGCTTAATAGGCGAATTGAAATCAGACTCATTTTATATTAAATGGTATAATATATACAAAAATTAAATTGTCAAGTTTAGTCTATACGGTACAATTCATAGAAAATTTTCAATTTTTGTAACACTCTATTTTCGCGACGCAAGTGATGACTAACTGAACATTTCTCTATTTCTATTCTAACGGCCTTTTAAAAGGATGCATAGAACGTTAGGACCGTTATTGCTTTACGCCAGAACACTTCAATAAGCTAACAATAAGACACGAGTAATTCACCACAAAGATTATCATCTACCTGTTTTCTTTTCTTTTTAAACCGTGATCTCTTTTTTCATTTATTATTCTTTCACTTATACCATCTTTCTCCATTTATCTCTAGCCACCCGTTGCGCAAAATGATGAGAATGAACCGCGGCCTAGAATATCCTTTGGGATATCTCTTTGAGACGCCAAGGTTTTTAAATTATGCATGAAACTGTTAATACAAAATCTGTCGATTTTACTATTAATACTAACAATAAGTGACGTAAAGCATTTGTAAATTTTAAGTTTATGGTTTAAAACGGAAACATCTTGGAGAAGTATTGTATGTACGTCTTGAAAATATAGACGGAAAAGAATTAGTTTCACAGAACTATTTGTCTTACTTTCCACTAAAATCATTTTCCTTGATTTATTATAATTCATTGTATTTCTTATTTCACAAAATATGACTATTTCAACGCCACTGTAGTAACTTTCCTAAAGATTAACAAAAAAAATTTTTATTTAAAAACAGTAATACTAAATCAATTGTATTCATCAAATATTTTATTATTCATTCATTTCGTATCGTATTTTATTATTATATTTATTTTAAATACGGCTGGAATTTTTATTATATATGCTTCATTAATAGCACGAAATTTTTCATAATTTCTCAATAATAAAAACCTGTTGAAGAGTTGTTCAAGAAATTCACTTTGTACATCCAATTGTGATATTCACTAAGCTTATTTCCGATGCAATAATAAGACAGCTCTCGAAGGTAAAGGAATGCGTGCGCTTTCATGAAAATTTAATTCAAATCGCCGCGGGAAGCTTCGAGGTTTTGTAGCTTCAAAGAGCCTCTGTCGCTCGAAAGTGAAATGCATTGATCAGCCCCGTTACTCGCGATACGACGCTCTACAATGAGAAGCCACGTATGGCGCGTAAAAGCCGTTCAGGAATCTTAATAGCTCGACGGGTTATGGTTAAATCCTCGTGAGCTCATTATAGGCCCATTTTACCCGATTGTGCGCGTTTCACGGCTTCTATGATGCGGAATGAATATTTCAAGACAAAAGAGCTTCCAGATTTCTTATATTTTTCCCGATTTCTTATTTCGGCAATAAAAAAAGAATAAAAAATCTAAAAAATATAAACCGCAACCAACGACATCATTTAAGCGAGGTTTTAGGTGAGAAAAATCACAAGAGGATTTAAGATACCATCGACGAACCATTATACGAAGACCAATAAAAAAGTTATTTGCATTTTGTTCTCCTTAAGTGGTTGCGTGCAAATACTCGCGCATAAGTCTCGTGGAAAGACGAAAATAAGGACGATCCGTTTCGCACCTGCGCACTGGCGCCTTTTAATACGCGGTTAAATCCGTTTACGACAAGCAAGTGCGCGAGCATACCGGGTGTTCAAGTAGCCGTGTAAATATTATCGCGCTTCCGGATCGGAGAAAGAGAAGACATCCCGTGCGCTTTCTTCATCGGGACATGGATCGCCGCGTCTGGTTTTTCGTTATTATGTACGTGTACGGGCCGATGTTTTCTTACGAGACTTCGACATTCTCACTCGTAGAAACGAACGGATACGTTAATCGTCCGTCGTGTACCTATAGGACGGGATCTACCTATCTACCTGCGGGTAGGGCTGAACGAAGGAAGAGATTCGTTGTGCGCGGTGATGACTCTTCAGATTTCTCATACCTGATGGCCAAACGAAGAGAACCTTCGTCGATGATCGCGCCGTTCATTATGGAGATAAGAAGTAAAGGCTCTTTAATAGAATTCCGAGCGACTGGTCATTTTGTATCTTCATTAACTTTTTCGCTAACCGATTCATTATTGGGCGGGTAGGCAACGGGGGAAAAAAGGGCAAGGAAAGTCTCTCGTAATTCGTGCGCGCAAATCTTTTCTCGATTCAAATGACTCATACCGATCGCAAAAACGAGATTGAAAGCGTGCAAGAAAAACGTATCGAAAATAAGCATGCATACTGGCGCGACGGACGCCAAAATATTTTACTTGCGAAACAAACTCGCGGCAAAAAGGGGAGCGCTTGATGAGTGGATGATAAGCGATAATCAGCGATGACGTTAATTAAATAAGCCGTGCGACGGTGTGCGTGCAAGATTAATAAATTTGTGCCAGATATTGTGGTCCTTCACGTCACATCAGAAGAGTTTGCGAAATATCCTCAATATCTAGTTATATATAAGGGATTGGAGTATAGTTGCAGCAGTGTTATGAGCTGCGTCACTGCGCGATTATACCAAAGGCGATAAAACTATATCGAGCGTTCGATGAACAGTAATGTAAGAAAAATTTCACTGGAACCACGGTCGCTGCAATTTTTGCCGCAATTAACGCACTCAGGTTAAGACTAGTGTTTCTTACGAGTGCAACTAAGAGCATTAACCACATAAAGCAATGGAAAAAAAGTTACTTTATGAGTTGTTACTTAGCGATAGCGTCGACAAAAAAAGCACTATACAGTTTGCAATTTACGGTTTAAAATTTTCGACTCACGGTTATTGTTTAAGGAGGGAAAATATCTTAATGACTATTAGGTTTTTAATTTATTCCGATTCCATCCAGTTTTTTTTATTTGTTTGTTATTAATCCAGTTAACGGTTAATGAAATTGTGGCTTTCTTCACACGCGATGAATCACCAAACGGCATTGTATTCCGAGTCAAAGACTAATAGACATCGGCAATCTTCACTAGAGGTAATGCGACAAGCGATAATGTTTACGAGTGCAAAAAGCGAGTCGCGAGGGTATTCCGGCCGTTACATGGCAAACGGACGAGGATCGTACCCTTAAAGACACGTACTGTGCAGTACCGCGAAAGAAAAGCACCTAACGATTCCACGTATCTACATCCGCGTTGCACGCAGCTGCGTACCGCGTCGCGATCGGCAATAACTGCACGTTGCAAGGGGGATGTACGCGCGCGCGATTCGCAGCCTACGGCGACGGGCGGATAAGAAACCGGAGAGACGTTCGAGTGCCCGCGAGTTTTAGCTATGGACGGACGGGCCCATTCGGCCCGACAGACACGTTGGACTACTGTCCGGCACGAACTCTCACGAGCGCAGACCGGTCGGCCAATTAACTGTTATTATGAAGGACTTCTTGCGTGTAAAGAGGACGCGCAGCATCCTAAACGAGCTACCGACGCGCGACGGCGATCCGTAGGATTCGCGGTAGTCATTTCGAGCTGTTCGCGAAATCGCGATCATTTGTCTCGTTCGGAAATTTTGTCGCGATTGGACAACGTTCGGGACAATACGTGAGAAACGATCATCCTTTTGTTTCTGTGAAATCAATTTGATGATATTGTTTGATCCCGTTGTCATTAAAAGACAAGTCTTGAACGAGTGATATAAACGTAAAAAATTACGTATAAAAAGATTTCGCTGTTTTTATCCAACGCTGCGACGTGTAGCAAACAGTTTGATAAACTCGAATTTAATAGTATTGTCTAAAACAATACTATTAAAACAATATATCGTCTTTGATGGCTCATTCTAATCCATGCGCTACAAGATGCTGGATTAGATCAGCGGATTCGCGTAATGACGAATTAAATGTTAGTCGATAAGTGCGGTGATAACCTACCGCAAGGTAATAGTAGCGGGATCGTAAAACAGATACTTGTACACCGAACTCGTTCACTGCCATTTACATCCCCGTTGTCAGTTGTCCGTACGCGAAATGCAATAAAAACGACTGGATTCGCGCGCGGTTCCGGTTCCAGCGGATCACCGTGGAAAGGCCTCGCTCGAACCCGCTGGCCGTGCGAGCGCGATAAATTTCATCGACTGACATGGGATTAGATTTCGAATGAAGTCGGTACACGGTCGGGTATTCGCGTCGCGGAGTACTTTACGTCGTGTAACGACCGCGGGAGGTTCGTGTCGCGGTCGCGACTCGCCGCGGGTCGGGCTGATTAATGTCCCCCAGTCGGCGTATCTGGGACCCCTGACACCGCCGATGAAGCGTGTCGCGGCGGCGCGATGTCAAGGATACAGCGCCTCAGTAGCCCCGACGACTTTAAGTAATGAATCTACGAGGATTCCTAACGACATCGGGGGAATTATGGGGAAATGCGCGGCGGTCGAAATTCGCGAAACCGCAAAACCGCTCGCGGCGACATGACGTTTTTATGACGTCCGCGCGATTACCGTTACGTCTCAGGACCGTTTCGTCCATTAGACGTTCACGACACAATGCCTGATGTCTATGAGCCTTGTCTTTTAAGGCCTACAAAGAATTTACTGGTACGGTAAAATACGAAAATAAAATTGAGTTATATGTGCGTTCCTCGCGTTTCTGCATGATTCTAACATTGGCATTTTGAAAAGAGTCACAAATAATGAGATAAAAACACATACCGTACTATTATAAGAAAATTTTAGATATTTATTAATAATTAATAAAATATAGAAATGATTACAATATATTCCGTGTTTAATATTAGATATGTTCAAATAAAAGTGGATACTCTTATTGATATCATGCTGACGCAACAAGTGTTTGTCCAATGTAATGACATTACGTAATCGGAATTAACGTTAATACGACGCATTTAATGTAGAATTACACATACACAAATAAAAAATTCAAATAACGTATGTACTTAAGAAAGGCCTTCGAAAAATAAAATTATAAGTAGTTTCGCGCGTAAAAATCAGGCAAAAGGCGTGAAATTACGACGTTATTAATAATAAGTTTGTCAGGCCTGTACGCCAGAAAGTTATAATCACAAGATAAAAACATTGTTACCTTGGCTCGTGGGGACACGTGTGGTCTATTCAGAGACCCGCGCGTTCGTCCATTAATGATTTTACCCGTACCTACCGACCGTATTTCATCGCGCTAATCCTCGCACTTAATCGTAGAATCACGATTATTCATCAGTTGGTGAATTTACGACGGTCAACACGAGGAAATATAGGAACCAGTGACACTCCAGGATTAAGTCCCGCGCACACCGTAGAAAATGAGTAAAGAGGAAAAAAGATACTTTTCGAAGAAAGACGATTTTTGTGCTTAGACTAACGGTGTGAATAATTCACGCGCACCTCCACGCGCGCGAGGCGCCTGAGTACTAAGAGGATGATTCATAATATTGTTAATTATGTTAATTGACGGAACCCATCGCTGCGGTTGCGGACTGCTGCAATATGCACGGGCCTTAATAGCGCTGCCACGTCGCTCGCTGTCACGTTACGAATGATGTCGCGGTGACTGTGTGGCATCGGGCAGCTCTCGAGGTCTCGGAGGTTTTGCCAGGAAAAAAAGAAAAAAAGGAGAGAGAGAGAGAGAGAGAGAGAGAGAGAGAGAGAGAGAGAGAGAGAGAGAGAGAGAGACTTCGCGCCATAACTTATGTTACTGGCTAGAAAGCACGATAATCCGGCGACACGTGGGAAATTCCAAACGACGTCATTACTGTACCGTATTCTTATTCATGCGGGTCGCAAGGGTTTCCGTGCGCGCCAACTTCGGGGATACTAGGATATAAGTGCATCGGTAATACGACCGTCGCCGTTTAACTGACCATTAAGTATACTTATGTAGGATATCTGTTTTACGAGTAATATATTTCCACTAATAGTTTCAGTTAAATCTCTCAGGAAACTTCCCTTCGCGCGGATACTCAACCGCTAAAACTTCGCAAAGATTCTGTAACTCATGAATAATTTTAGAATTTTATCAGAATACAAACGCGTCGGGAGAATATCTCCCAAAAATAAGAATCTTATATAATGCTCGCGAAATAAATGTATAACGAGAAGAATATTTTTAATAGAAAAGAAAAAAAAATGAAATTTTATCCAACGCCATTGTTCAACCGGTAATTTCCCGGTGCGTCTAACTTAATTCGTGACTCAGTTTTCTGCGTGACTATCTTTTGGAGAGCTCGGTGAAAACGTATCACGTAATCTTCGGAGGAGTGGGGGACAATATAAATCGCGGTAAATAAAACGCTCGTGGAAGCAATTAAGTAATGCCGACGATGTCGCGTGAGGATGGATCACCGGCTTCTCAGAAATGAAAGCTAGAGGAGGCATTCCTTCCTGAATTTCGCGACGAAAATGCGATGGCTAGCCGCGAATGGACCTAGATCGTGCTCACGATCGTTTGATCTTTAAATACGCTGGAAGAATTTCTCGGCGCTCGTGTTACAGGTAATGAGCGCACGGGCGATTAATTAACGACGAGGGGATGTCCGACGGTACGAAACGCCTCGCGCGAAGATATTTAATATAATTTCTATCGCGGAGTTATTAGCATTCGAAAATGTTATAGGCTGTTGCAACACACGCACGGCGTTGCCCGGGACGCCAGGAGCGCGCTCGGGCGTATAAATCCCAATGTCGTAAACTGCGCGCCTGTTAATGCGATTAATAAATTAACGCCGGCTGCGCGCTGTGTTTTAACTGCGTTATCATTGTACTTGTAAATGATTTAATCCAGCCGTGTGCACACGCGTACACACGGGTGGCAGCCGACGACGAATGCGCCGTTTCGGTAGGAAGAAAAAAACGGGGCGGGATCGGCATTGTGATCGCGCAAAGATCAAGGTGTCTCGTTAATACTCGATGTAATGCGACCACAATACCTTCGCTCGATTATGAGGCGTGATTTCACAATGGCGTTCTTTTCTTCCATTTTAATCCGGCGTGATAAAAAATGATGCTATAAATACGTCTTGCGTGATAGTGAAATCGTTATATACGATCATTTTACGCAATAACACTGGAATATCTCGATCAGCAATCGTGATTAACGCACTAAAGTCTATTCGACAAATCGAAATGGGAATTGCAGTCCGTTGCGATACGCCGCGGCAATGATCCTACATTCCTGCCTATCTACATTACAGGTGCAGGAGGCACCAGTCTCGCCGGCGTCCTCCTCTCTGAGCAACCAAAATCAAAATGAGAGCGAGCAACAGGTCCTGCTGGCAACCATGCAGCCGGTGAACGTGCTCGATCTGCACGAGTCGCAGGCCGTGCACACGCTTCACCCCAAGTACCACCATCACCATCATCGTCACCACCACCATCATCATCATCATCATCATCACCAGCAACAGCAGCAGCAACACATCCAGGGAAATGATTCGGAGGATGTGCAGCAGCGCGCCGCGGCCGCGGATGATCCTGACGGCCGCGTGACGCCCGGCGACGAGGCGGTCAACGAGGGTAACACGGCGCTCGGCGTCGTCGGCGAGCACAAGATGATCGATCTAATCTACAACGACGGACAAAAAACGGTCATGTATACCCACGACAAGGAAATCATTTACGAGAACGAGCACGCGGATCGCGTGCAGGTGGTCGAATATCCGCCACCACCGCCGACGCCGCCGTCGCCGTCGCCGCCGTCGGCCGGTGTCACGAGAACGGGCCTGTTGCCGCCGACCTGCGTCACTCCGAGATCCGCTACTACGGCCGCCACCGCAACCGCCCTGCATCTGCACCACTATCCGCAGCTGCAGCTGCAGCACGAGGACGATCTGCCGCCGACGGTGCGCCACGCCGTCAACGCGACCGTGCCGAACTGCGGCGCCGCGACAACCACGACGACGGTTCTCGTGCTGTCGGAGCTCGTCGCGGCCGACCCGGCTGCCGCCGGTGCAGCTGCAGCCGCGCAACAACTGACACTCACCGCCGCAGCGTCGTTTCGCACCGGGTAAGTCCATGTTTTTCCGTTACGTTTCTCGAATTTTCCTCCTATTCGCTCGACCAGTTTGCCGACCGATCTTTCGATCTTTATCACACACTTCGTTGTTCTCTCACTCGCAGATTCAGATAATCAGATAACCTTCTGAATGAATACGAGCTGTTCTTACGAACCAAAAAGCATACGTCTGCATCGCAGATTCTGCGAAATCATTAAATATTTATATCGCACGATGCTAAATAGCAGGCTATTAACTTGATTGAAGAATTAATCGAAATGCTGCCAGCATAAACGAGAGTCCTTACCTAATGGAGAGGAGGAGCGTATGCATTGCAATAATATAATTTAGCGGGACGAAGAATTTTTCGTATTATACATCATCTCGCAGCCTGATTTATTCGTGTTCGAAAATTTCTTGAATAATCGTATGCGACCGAGCGTTATATGTTTACGTCGCGAGTCCCACGCGCATATTTCACATATAATTAAGTCTCTCGCTGACCGTGTTGCAGTCGTCGAATGACGTTATATATTCGAGACAAGTTGTAATTCATCCTTTCTCTGATTATTGACTCACAATGTGTCTCTTGCGGTCTGTTCTATCCGCACAACAGATGCGACCGCAATATTACAAACGAAATGCGTGGAAACACGGAATAAAGTCAGTGAGAACTTCGACGTTAATGTTTTTCATTAACACGTATCTCCGGTGTATGTTGACGAAGTATGTCAAAAAATATTGCTGTGTACAACAGCTGTGTGCGTTCGCACACATGAGATCATGAATACATTATGTTGCAGCGTAAACTGATTAATATCGTGTCGTGACGTTATAAAGATAACAGCAAGTAAAAAAGATTAATGAGACTGAATCACGTTTGTTTGTAACGTTGCGAAAGACATTGGAAGAAAAAGGCGTGATTGCCGGATACGCATACTTTCTTTCTGTCGAGATTGCCTGGAGATACTCAAAGTGATAATATATTAAAATGAGAGGACCCCGAAGAGACGTGCGGCAAAGGTCATAACGAAAAAATGGAGGTATAAGCTAAATGTCAGCTTCGAAGCTTGTTACGGGCTCACAAATGAACGTAGAGATTCAGTGCTTCGTTAGCGCGCGTATTTACGAGAGTGCGACCGAAACGAGAGTAATAATTGCGGACTTTTACGAGTTACGCGAGAAGCGATTCTGTCCCCTTCGCGAAGGAACTAAGTACTTTGAAAATCGGAAACTTACAGAAGTGATTCGTTCAACTTATTCTTGAAAATGATCACGACTAGATCAACCAGGATTAGATCAATATTTATTCGATGTTAGTCAACGGTAAGACTAATTTTTTCCCAAACGCATGTATAAATCACGGGCGATTTGATAGAGCCGATAACGTCTATATATGCATCAAAAAACATCGCGATGAAGAACGATCGATAATTTTTCTTTTTATTGCGAATTATTAGCGAATTATCGCGGACGGGCTGTTTACACGGACGGTAGCGTAGACGTCACGGAAAAAATCGGACATATATAGCGCACGCGGAGGAGCGGAGTGCTATCTGGCGCATGTATCAGCGTCGACAATTAACAATCATTGCGCGCACTTAGCCGCGAGCGGCGCGGATAAGTCACGTTGCTACGTAGAATTTATTATTACGACTAAACTACCATCTACGCGCGCGCGGGCGTGTGTGCGCGTACGTATCTGATACGCGAGCGCGCGCGCGAATTACACGCGCCGCGGCTCGACCGGCAGTTCCGCGCGCGCGCGCGCGCGAGCGCACCGTTCTCCACACGCGGAATATCGGCGAGCCAATAACCATTAACCACACACGCACACTGGCGCGCGCCACCTTGCACTTTTGCAATAAATAAAAATCAGCCGCAATTAATCGGCGTGAGATATGCACGCGGGAGACCTTGGATGCCACGAAAGAAAAACCACGCCACTTCTCCGGCGACCGCTTATTTTTTCGCTCACCCCGTTATTACGAAGCGAGCGTGTCGGCCGCGTGTACGCTCTCCCGCCGAATTCCGCCGTTTCGAGTGAGACTCTCTTTCTCGCGGGGACCGTTCACCAAACGAGCGCGGCCGCTGTTTTCTCCCTTTTTTTTTCTCTCCTTTCCATGCTCCTTCGCCTTTCCATTTTTCGTCGGAATATATGGTTGGACGTATACAGATTGAAATATTCGGCCGACTCATTCTCGAGAAACGGCAATTCGCCTCTCTCACTCTCAAAGGTGCCTCCATAGTGATCCTCGAAAATTCAAGTTCCCTTTCACTTCGCACCTTCAGGCACGTCACCGCGGTGAATTTCGACAACAATCGAGATGTAGCAGAAAGAGAAAAAGGAAATCTTGAAGACATCATCATATGTACAAGAATTCACTTGCATTTTCAAAGATGATTCTCTTCCGTGATATCGGTAAATCTTGACGTAATATTCGAAGAATTGTCCTGTTAAATTTATTACAGCCTTTCGAAATAAGAAATATATCTGTTGTTGCTATTGCAACATTTGTTAAAGGAACATGATATTTCAAAAGCGTAAAAATACTTCATATTTTCGCGCTCGTCCTCAAGCAACGCAGTAAATAATTGATAATAAATAATTTCCTGCGTAACAAAGAAAATGTTCCGACTTGAATTCTTTCGTTCTCCGAGATCGAGACGAGCAAGAAAAAAGCCCCTAGAGGGCTCCTCCGCTATTCTCTTTTGTCTAGTCCTCCACGATCAGAGCACAGCGGGCAAAAAACAATCGCTCGTGTTCTCTCAATCTCTTTCTCTTGGTCGTCCACAACCGTAGGAATGAAAAGAGAGAGAGAGAGAGAGAGAAAAGGAGTACCAAGAGAGGAAGGGAGCCAGTCCTTTCCGTTCGCCCATGGTCTCAAGAAGGAAGTAAGAAAACAAGTCCCTCGCGCGAATTTTTATTTCTTTTTATTTAGTTTGTACAAGATTAACTGTTTATAGTTTGCGTTCACAGTATATTTTTAAAACCTAATTTGTAAGTGTAAAATGGAAGAGATATATAGCGCTTATTTTTTAATTATATTGTAAAAGTAAGATTACAATACGGAAATAATTCGTGTTAATTTTCAAACACGTGAGAAGAAACGTTACTTCGATATTTCCTGGTCTAACAGCACCTTAGCTGAAGACCGATTCAAAGGGAACTGGTTAAGCTGACATGCGTGGGTGCGCGATATGAATACGTATATATGACAGGTGATACGTGTTATTGATATAAATGTTCAAGAAAAGCGTAGAGTATTTTTTTTTATTCGTATACAACGCCGTACGACAGTTCAATACACTCGCGCCTAACACTTCTTCACTTGTTGTAACGGACTTGCATAAAAATCTACTAAGACGTGAGAAAGTTCGATGTGCATTGTCATCTCTACGCTGGGAACATGCAAATAGCTTTATTAATATGTATATTTAAATATTAATGCACAATTGAGTTATGAGTAGAAATAAAAAGAAAAGAGGTGAGTCGCTCGCGGCAAATTCCTTTGTCCATGGTATTATTAAATATTCAGCGGGATTTTATTTTAACAAAATATAAAGGACAAAATATAAAGTGATTATTTCGTCATGAATAAACGGAGAAAGGCGTGTGAATCGATAATTACAGGCCATATATACGACTTATAATTGTCAGCGTGTTAAAATGGAAACGGTATGTTTGCCCTCTTCCCTCGACTCGTTCGTCCTTTTAATTCAAGTTCCTTCCAAGAGAAGATTATCCGTCAGGACGGATTGATCCATCTTAAATTGAGAACCTGTCTCGGATTTCGCCGTCGGGCGAGCAACCGCGAACGAGTTTAAAGCCGTGGAATAAGTAGCTTAAAGGGAGCGCACAGGGAGAGAACGGATCTCGCTTTCGACAAGTTCCAAATCGACCGAATGAGTTTTATCCCGACGAGCTTTATCGCGCGCGCTCATCTCGCACTTAGTAAATGCACTCGCGAACGTTTTAATCTGATTATGGGAAGCAACTGTACTTCCTCAATATACTTAACACGTGTTTCATCGAAATTTTCAGTTGCGTGTTATTCGCGCACGAAAAAAAAATCTGGCTATAAATAAATCGCTGCACGTCAATGAACGACGAAGAAAATACTTTTATGATAATTATAGCTCAGGACTGACGTAAGATCGTGCATGTGAATTACTGTATCAGTGACAGGAGGAAGAAATGCTGTGTGTTATTTCATGCGTACTTAATTTATAGTCCATTTCCTGCCACCCCATTTTGCGCAACGCGATACGACTTAATATACTCCTACGCATACCGTCTTTTCAATTAGCCAAACGCTATGCGAGATAGGCCCCCGATACCGCTCGCCCGAGCTAATCGATCGTTCCCAACGACAACGACGACTTTCCTTGCCATTTTACAAATAACGCACGACAAACAAGTCCGAGGCGCCGATCGATCACCGTCTCTCCCTCGAATCACCGCCGCGTTAACCGATGTTATCGCCGGCGACCGGCGTGTTTCTGCGCCACGCTAAAATAATGGATATTAATAACGTTTTGCGAGAGACATCGCGATACGACCTACAAACGCGATATTTTTTCGCGATTCCGTAATTCGCCCGCGTGGCAAATTTATGACGTTGCTCCCACGCGGAAAAGGCGCTGGGTGGTTTTATCTCGAGGCGCACCGCCGATCGACCGCCGGAGATCGTGGCGGTTTTTTATCCATATCGCGGATCGGAAAATTATAATGCACACGCGTGACGACTTCACACGTCGCTGATCACCGTGTTTTCCGTCAATGGGACGCGCGCTCGCGCAAATATGATCCTGTCCCACGTGCAAGTCGTCGCCGCCGCCGCCGCCGCGGTAACCACAATGGCGATCGTCTAATGGCCGAGGAACCGAGCATCGCTCGAGGGTCGCGGCGGCGTAATCTATGTTAAAGCGCCGGCGGAGATGGTTGAGGTATAATAATAGTGTTTTCGAGGATGTGTGTGACGTCATACACACCGGCGCGCACGCACAC